GAATGGATTAAATCATTTGTACGAAATAATTGTGGTCGTTATAATTTTCTTTGGCTTGATTCAATTGATGATAATCAAATAAATCAAATATCTAATATGACAATTGGTTGGCAAACTAAAATATCCAATAATAATAATTCTCAAATACTACCATTAATTTTTAAACATAATAATCATATAGATGATGATTATTTTTGTATAAAATATATTAATTCATATGATAATATTAATTTAACACAATTAGTAAATGAACGAACATGTTTTTGGAAAAAATATTTTTTAAAACGTGAAAAACTTGAATGTATATCATTAAATAAAAATCAATTTAATATAAATTATCGTTTTTCATCCGATATTGAATCATATCATTTAGAAACAATACAAACAAATAATAATAATAATAATAATACATCATTAAATATATTATTAAATATTAATCATACATTAATAACATTATTAATTGATTCAGAAATGAAATCATTACATCCATTATTAACAACATATCAAATTCAAATACAATCAACATTAAAAACAATAGAACTTTGTCTTTATTTATCAAAATTATTAACATATAAATATCATTTACGTGTATTTCGTTTAATTAATAATAAAAATAAAAATGATTTTATACCATTTCATATTGAACTTAATGATGATACATTAAAAAATGGTCTTTGTTATATATGGAATCGTGATACACAATTAAATGAACAAATACATGTTAAACAAGTTGCAAAACGTTTAGCTGATTATTTTAAAGCACTTGAAGATTTTATGTAAAATATAGTTTTTTCATTTTCATTAAAGAAGAAATTATATCGATTTTCTAATCGATTCATTTTGTATTTATTGAAAGTAGATATAAATAACCTAAGTTAATATTGCATATTTTTCTATGGTTTACGAAAATAAAATTAGATTTCAGAATGTTTGATTATTCGGACATGCATGAATGATAGGATGATGCCAAAAAGAAGATAATACTTAAGGTTATCCAAAAGTTCTGGCGTCATTATCTGATTTTCTTATAGAAAGCATAATAATAAAATTTCGATAAGATCTGTTTTTGTTGAAAGCTAGCTGGTGGTATATTAGATCTTAACGGATCGGACACTTTTGCATTTGATTTTATCATCACTTAATACGTTGTATTAAAAAACAAAATATACCACAAGATGCAGCGTGAAAAGCTCTACAAATTCACTTATTTTATAGTTGCACTTTTTGTTTTCAAAATGGACAAAACTCTGAGCGTGTAAATTTCGATGCTGCGCAAAAGAAATTTTTTTTTGATAAAAGACGACTTCGTTTTTTCCTATTTCATCTTTTTATAATTGTTCTTTGTAAGTTATAGAGCTTTTCACGCTGCATCTTGTAGTGTATTTTGTTTTTTTAATACAATGTATTAAGTGATAATAAAGTGAAATGCAAAAGTGTCCGACCCGTTAAGATCTAATACCACCAGCTAGTTTTCAATAAAAACAGTTTTTATCGAAATTTTATTATTATGATATTAGTTGAATAATGATCAAATAGCATAGAAACATAGAACAAAAGACGCTCTATCTGCTCATAAGAAAGAAAAGTTTTTTCAAGCTTTCTATAAGAAAAAAAGATAACGACGACAGAACTTTTGGATTGCCCTAAGTAGTAATCCATGAAGATTTTTGATGATTGTTAGAAAGGATTAATTGAAGTTTATCAGTAGATTTTGCAGTTCTTAGCATCAACTAGATTTTATTATTTTTTTCCTTCTATCGAACACATTCGACCCGATGTAGCTCACCGGTGGGATACGCTATAGTTTAACGAGAAACTGTATAGAAAGGCATTTGCTTCTGCTTTTTTCTTAAGTAGGAGGCTAAATATAAGGAGTCAACTGTGCTGCCTTTAGTACTTTATTTGAGTTCTTTACTACATAGCATAATGTTTATCATTAAAACACTCAAGACAAAAAAATTTATCACAGTCAGAACAGAAAGTTTTTACTTTCTTTGCTGCTGCATAGGTCGCTTCTCCTGACTGTTGTGCTCTTCCCTTCGCATAGTAGCTAGTGCACCGTCTGCCAACATTGCGCTTAGATCCTTCCTTTTCTTCGAGTTTGTCATCAGCAAGGTTGCGCTTCGAATAACTTGCTGATTGCTATCTTGGACCAGGTTTCAGCTTCTCGATTGGTGTGCGAAGCAGTAAAGACCGGACAAGACTTTCATGAAACTGTAGAATGGTCACTTTGCTTGCCCTGTAGTTTTCCTTGTATATCAAATAGCTATTTACTAGTGCCGCCCCAAAAACTACTTCAAATGCTACCTTTCGGTACCTCTTTATTGACCACCTGAGGTCATTAAGTGCATTTATTAGTTACCTGTCCATGAAAATGAACATCTCGAAAAAATTTTCTAAGAAAACTGAATCGGGTCGAATGTGCTAATATTCTTAATTATTTTGATTGAAGAATGCTGATGAATGTTAGAAAAGTCTTACATGAATTTTATTTTCAGTTTAGTATGACAAGAATTTGTCGCCAAGATTTAATAGTTTCAAAGCTATGTAAAAATATCCAGTTCAAAATAATTATCCAAGAAAGGGAAAGTTTTCACTACATACTTCTGCAGTTTAGAAGAAAACTTCTATCTACTATAAATTATTTTCATATGTTTCGT